CATATTTTACAATCATCTCATTCTGTGTATATCTATTTTGTCTCCAACTTTAGACTCTGTAGTCAGAAAATGCCTAAAAAAAAAAAAGAAAGAAAGAAATGATGCCAAGGGATCAATAGAAAGTAAATGTCTAGAATGAAGGCAACATATGTACAAATTCACCTGATGCAAGCGTTGTATGGATTGTGACGAGTTGTAAGAGTCCAAAAAGAAAAAGAAAATATTCACTTTTACTTAAGTTCCTCTTAAACTCCTATGAGCTCCTGTGAGGGTGAGGGTGATGTCTTTGGGGGGAAAAATGTTAAACAATTATTTCTGGAACCTAGGAAGGTGACTGGCTTAGTCTCTGTTGTTAGTTTGCGTTTTATTTTTTATTTTTCCATAATTGGTAAACCCTAAACTTTGGGTTCATCACACACACACACACACACACACACTTTACACTGAAAACCTTGTTTCCTGTCACAAGCTGAGTGTTAGCTCAATTTTGCAGTTTACATGAGTTGAGTAAAGAATTAGAAAATTCTGTTTGTTCACCATCACTCTCTGGATCAAGCATATATTTTCCCTGTGTTAGGCAGAGGGTATGCTACTAAATGTGACAAAAATAACACCAGTGTGCTGATTCAAAAGTTACCTCTGACACTTAGATAAATTGTGAAGCTCTAAAACAATGCTGGTCTCTAGACTCCACTCCAGTCCAGTTCATCAGAACCTCTTCGGGTTTTAAAAGCCCTGTAGCCTAAATGAGAATACATGTGTAAGAGGAGAGATTTTTCAGTGGTGTAGCTTGTTCACTGGAGGAGGGAAAGGCATAGAAGGACTGGTGCTTGGTCTGGACAGTGTAGTGTCATTTAGAAATGTGTTTTCCTGTAACTGAACTATTACTAGAGAACATTTTGTCAGTAAACATGATGTACTGAGCAAGGCTTATGGGCCGGCCATTGTCATAGCACAGAGGAATAATGAGGAGCAAGCAGTAATGGGAATGAGACCAGAGATTCAAAAACAGGGTTTAGTTGTCTCCATGCTTCTGTAACAAATACCACAGTTGAATGGTTCTAATACTGTTCTCAGTGTGGAGGCTAGAAGCCCACACCCAGCACGATGGCCTCCTTAAAGGGCAAGTTTTCTCTTTCTGTCTGTGCTGGAGAAATTACTGATCTCTTCTTCACCTTTTGAACTTCATGGTTTCTTGGAAATCTCCGTATGTCTTAGAATCCATCTTACCCCAACTCTTGCTCTATTGCTTGCCTGTTTAATCTCTTTTATATTAAAAGAGATTGACTCAAACCAAACCCAACACTAATTCTGCCTCATTAGCATAAGACAGTTCATCCCCAACTTAACCTTAGGCATGCTGTTAGAACCCTCCTCGTTAGTTCCCATTCATGGACCTTGTGTACCGCACAGCAGACCACTGCCCAGTCCTGTGCCAACCTCATGCTTAATGTTGGAACCACTGTGTCCGTTGATCCATCTCATTGAGGGTCTTTCTCTTTGTGGCAGACCCTCTCTTTTACCTCCTGATAACATAGACAAAGTGCATGAGGTGAATACTCACATCATTGCTGTACAGAGAACTGACTGGATTTTTTCCAACACAGATTTATCAGGCCTTCTGGCAGTACCTAGCATACGAAAGAGGTTTGAAAAGTTCATGAAATTTTTAATTAAAAGAAAGTGGAATTTTTCCTGTGAACTTTTGAATTCACTTATATTTAACATTTTTTTTGCAACACTAATTCAAAGAAATCGATTCTTCAGTCTTCTTTTTAATTGCCCAATACTACATGCATATGAGGCCATTGAAAATATGCTGGCTTGGGTCAGACACACCTTAGCCACCAAGGTAACATCTTTGGTTTTTAATACTTAGATCTTTTGCAGCACATTTGCCCAATGCAATACATTGTTTTATTTTCTGACTGATCCTGTGGGTGTTGATTATGCAAGTAAAATAAAATGCATGACAACTTTAATCTCTTTGTTTATCTTAATATTGCTTACTAGCCTGATTGTGATGATTTGGTTTTTCTGGTTTTTTATGTTGAAGTAAATGTTTCAAGTCTTCACTTCAGCACACATGCTGTGTCATCTGAATATCACAGTTTGCTAGTGAGTTTTTCTCCAGTCTTGGTACCCTATTCTTTATATTGTCCAGTTGCTCAGAATACAAATTAAATCGTGTGGTGAGAGGATATACCCCTGACATATAACAACCCTAGTCTTTGCCGATTTAAAACCATACAGTATCTTTGTATAAGTTCAGCCTGAGTACAATTAAGTGTTCTGGAATTACCATTCTTTAAAATGTTATCCATAGTTCATTATGATCTATACTAGGCGTCCTCAAACTACGGCCCACGGGCCACATGCGCCCTGCCGAGACATTTATCCAGCCTGCCGAGTGTTTTTGCCTGTTTTGTTTTCTTTACTTCAAAATAAGATATGTGCAGTGTGCATAGGAATTTGTTCATATGTTTTTTAAACTATAGTCCGGCCCTCCAATGGGTCTAAGGGACAGTGAACTCGCCTCCTGTTTAAAAAAGTTTGAGGACCCCTGATCTATACAGTTGAATTTATCGTCAATAAAACACAGGTAAACAGTTTGATCTTAATCTCTGTTTGCAGTGATAGCAATGCTATTCCTTATTCCTCTTTCTGAATCTGACCAGAAACTTTGGCAGTTCTCTGTCAATGTACTGCTGCAACTGTGTCTTTAATTATCTTCAAAATTTCACTTGTGTGTGATAATAATGATACTGTTCAGCAATTTCCACTTTGTCGGTTCTCCTGTCTTTGGGATGGGCATGAATATGGATCCCTTCCAGTCAGCTGGTCAGATTCTTGGCATAGAAAAGGGAGCACCTGCGGTGTTGGAAATACAACCTGCATCTTTGGAAATACTTCTGTCAGTACCTGGAGCTTTGTTTTTCCCCAGTACCTTCATTGCATGGGGTTTTTATCACACGCTACCTCCTGAAATGGTTGAACTTCAGCCACTTCTTTTTGGTACAGTGATGTCTACTTTTAAGGTTTCTGAGGGAGCCCTGGTGGCATAATGCTTACACGTTGGGCTACAATCTGCAAGGTAGGCATAGGCAGTTCAAAACCGCAAGCCGCTGCATGGGAGAAAGAGGGGGCTTTCTACTCATAAAGAGAACCAGACTCGGAAATTCACAGGGGCAGTTCTCCCCTCTCCTGTGGAGTTACTGTGAGTCAGCATGGACTCGATGTCAGTGAGTTTGTTGTTTTGATTTTTGAGCCATTCAATATTGCACATAGAATCATTCAGTACTAAAACGTGAGGCTTGGACTTTTTTCCCCCCCAGCTTGGTAAATACCAAGTAGGTTACTCCCTTTTGATTTCCTAACTGCAGGTTTTAACTGCATGTCATACTACCTAACTTTATCTCCTCACACCATCTTTTGAAATCTGTTTTAATTCTTTTCTCGACATTCTAGGGCAAATTTCTTTCACATTGTCTTTTGACATCCATTTTAATCTTTTCTTTCATTTTCTTTAATGACCTTTTGATTTCTTGATATCTTCAACTTGTCTGCTTGAAATGTGCTTAGCTTGTTCTTCCTTTTGGTTTTCTAACTTCAGGTCTTTGCACATTTCAGTATGATACTGTATTTTGTCTTCTTGAGTTGCAATTTGAAGTGTTCTATTCAGCTCTTCATCATTTCTTCCATTTGTTTTAGCTACTCTACATTCAAGAGCAAGTTTCAGAGTCTCTTGTGACATCCACTTTGATCTTTCTTTCCTGCCCATTCAATGACCTTTGCTTTCTTCGTTTATGTTTTTGATGCCATCCCATAACTCATCAGGTCTTTGGTCATTAATGTTCAAGGCCTCAGATCTTTTCTTTAGGTGGTCTATAAATTCAGGTGAGATATACTCAAGGTTGTATTTTGGCTCTCATGGACTTGTTTTAATTTTCCTCAGCTTCATTTTTAGCTCTCATCTGAGGAGCAATTGGTGTGAGTGATACCCCCCCCCAAAAAAAAATTGGAAGTTTTTTTTCTCCAAATCTATGTATTTAAATTTTTTTACAAAACAACCTTGTTACCTTCAAAGTATTTTCTATTACACTGAATATGTTTGTCAAATCTGCAATTCCATTCTTGGAAACATTTTTCAAACTCATCTGTTTGGATGGCTGATAGCACCTCCCTCGTTTTCTTTTTCACTTCTTCTACATAGTCAAACTGCTGGCCTTTCATGTCCCTCTGTATTCTCAGAAACTAAAAAGAAGTCTCATCGAATGAGTTCAGGTGAGTAAGGTGCTTGGAGCAAGAGAGGCATGCTGTTTTTTGCCAAAACCCGGTGCATTGAGATGGCTGCATGAGCAGGTGCATTGTCGTGGTGGCAAAACCAGTCCCCAGCCTGCCACAAATCAGGTCTTTTTTGTCACACACTGCTATGCAATCTTTTCAGAAACTCAGAATGGAAAGTTTGATTAACATTCTGACCTGGTGGAATGAACTCCAAATGCATTCAACAATTTTGTCCAGGAAGTTGACAGATACCTAGAATGAGGTTTGTCATCAATCAACATTTCACCATTTTTGAAACAAGAAAACCACTTGTACACTTGTTTTTCTCATAGTGCTGTCCTTGTAAGCTGTGTCAGTTTCTGCGACATTTTTCCTGAGCAGGAAACAATTTCACAGCCTCACATCAAGATCTTAAAGCGGCCATCAAAAAAACCAAGGTTTGAGCAAAAGTGCTTTTACGAAAAAATTCACTATAACCAGAGAGAAACTTCCCAGGGTGCATTAACCTCAGAGAGAGTTGCTTGATGCTCACTTACTGGGAAAAATGCATACTGTGAAAGCTCAGTTCCACCCAGTGGAATTCCAGCTTTTTCTTGGTATCCCCTCATATACCTGCCTCAAATAATTTTCTCTGTTAATTACTAATTAATTTCACTTCCTTTGATTAGCCTTATGGTAATGTGAGGTTTTTGTTGATTTTTGTTCTTACAGAACTTTAAGATTGATGTCAAAGGCATGATTTTCACCCTACTTCACCGACATAACACGACAAAAACACATAAGTTTTTCTCTTCCTTTTGGATTCCTATTTTATATCACAATGGTAAGCTATAACTGAGTAGTTCCAAATTTGTGTTTTAGAAGGGTATTAGGATGGTCTCTTCCTTCATCTCCATAAAAATAGTAGTAGTGTAAATACAGAAATACTTTTACAAATTATATAAGTTATTCTAACTGGAAATTAGTAATTGCATGCATAGTCTTCTCTATAAAATATGTTCATTTTGTAATTCAGTATTACAATTAAATGGCTATTATAATTTATACAGATAATCCATCTATTTTTGTGAAATACTTAAAAAACGTTAATAATTCTATGTACTTTACCCAAGTCTTTGGCAAAGCAGATGGGTATGGGTATATATACAGATAGTTTTGGGAGGCCCAGGTTTCTCATATTTTATATTTTCTCTTTTTAAAATTTAAAAACAATGTACAACTCATGTACCTGTTGATTGCATATAGCATACATGTTACTCATTGTCAGTGCTAGCCTTCCTTTCATGGAATATTTCTGTTGACTGACTTTTAAGTCCCCAAACATGCTTAAGACCAAGCATTAGTGTTTTCCATTAAAAAAGTTAAAATTATTTTCTTAAATTTTTAAAAAATAAGGTGGGAAAACAAAGTTAAAAGGTAATGGAATTTTTCCACAAGCTCTTTGAAGTACCTTTATGTAGCTACTGCTGCCCTATTACTAAAAAGTGGAGTTAGCATGGCGGGGTTCTACTTCTCCTTATATTCTTGGGCTCTTATTATCAAAGCATTTCCCACTCAGGTATTTGAAGGAAGTTGTGAATAAATGACGCTTGTGTTTACAAATGTATGTGTATCTGTGTTTCTAGCCTTATGAATTTTTAATTTCAGAAGATAATTTATTTCCTTGAGAAGACTGCTTTTTAAAATCCCCCTACAGCTTTTTTAAACCGTACTTACTAATTCTCTGACATACACTTATTTTAAGACCTTATGGCCAAATTATTAAAAGCTTTATGTATTTTGGCAAAATAGTACAAATGCAGGATTATTTTTTCATGCTGAAAAATAGGGTTTATCCAAATTTTAATCATACATCCTAGGAACCAGTTTTACTGAGAACCTACAGCTTAACAGATTTAAAAATTTCAGTAAACGTACATTTAACTGAGCCTTTTGAAATAATGGCGACTTTCAGACTTCTTTCACTTAACTACATTTAGATATTTAGGTTGTCTTTGATGACACTCTAAAAAATCCAGGTAATCTTCTAGGAATGAGAATTCTCGGTCCTTAGTGGAGGTGTCATTGTCCCTTTCCATATCTTTCCAAAGAAATGGAATCTTTGGGAATCTTTGGAAATGGAATCTACCTCTGTGCAACGTGGTAGATTGACCTATAGGATCCTGTGAAATAAATATGAGGTGGGTCCTTGTAAATAATGAAGAAAGTTCTTTGCCTCTGAAGGGAATAAAAAATAACTAGCATTCTGAGTGAAAATCACTCTGTGTGGTCTCAAACCACAAAACTGAAAAGATAAAAATCATTGATGGCATATTTGCCTAACCTTATGCAGAGCCTCGTGTCCTTTAGTCTTATTTCTTATTGTGAAAGAAAACCTCACAAATGAGGAATATATCACTTTTTATTTCTCTCTCTCCCTTAAAATAAAGGTCTCCAAAAAATTGATAAAGGATGGAAATCTACTGGTAGATTTCAAATTTATGTTTGGCTATACTATATTTCATCCATTCTCAAATGCATTTTTTCTCATCTTGAAGTCCTCAGATTCCAGATGAGTTTATAATCAATGACAACCTACAATTATGACTACAACTTTTTTTCTTATTATCTAAATGAATGATTTATAGAGATAATTGATGGCATTTTAAATTCATTGTAATGTGGTAATTAATGATCATTGTTTGTTGCATGCCTCTCAGGCGTCTAACTAGAAACCATATATTGTGTAGGTTTTTTGCATGTTAGGTACCACACCCAAACTAGTTCTCAGTATTTTTACCAGATAGGAGAGTTGTCCTTTTTTTGATATCATATGTTCAGTAGATTTTCCTGGAATGTGGAAGAAATGAGGGTTTGTATACCTCTGAAGACAAGCCTGGTTATTCCTTTGGGAAAGGGAACAGGCAGGGGAACCCTGTGGAGCTGTTCTCTGCACACATGGGGTTGCCATGAAGTGGAGTCGGCATAAAGGCATCAAATAAACCAAATAGTGCTACTGACCTTATCCAATCCTCTGTCAGCCTCACAGAAACAGTTTCAGCATTTCTTACCTGGTTTTCTGTCATAATCAAGTGCCCAATATTGCCACATTTATTCCTTTCTCATCAGCATTCATTAGGGTGCAAGAGAGAAATAAAGGACAACCTATTAGATCCATTTTCAAAAATAGAACACATTTTTAAATACATAGCATGAAATGTTGAATGTATATTCAATTTATTGTGAAATTAACTAATATTACCAAATACACTATTTACTTTTTGCAGCAGCAAGCTTTAGAACTAGCTTTGGATCGTGCAGAGGTGAGGCGTGACTAAGTTACATATTAAAATAGTCTTTAATTGACAAAAATTCAATTTTAAGAGACTTGTGTATGTTATTTTTGGAGAAATATGCCAATAACTTTTACAGTGAATATGCAGAAAATATATATATCAGGTTATGTTTGGATCATCCATTACTTGGTAGCTTTAGATTATAATGCTGTATAATAAAATGTATTTGAGCAGTGACATAGATTTTCTAAAATTTTCCTGTTGGACAAGATTTAATAATTATTCAATTAAAAGAGAAAAACAGTTGAAAGACTGCAATTAGATATAGAACTGCTTTAAATACACAGGTATTTTCTAAGGAACCACAAAGTGTATTGGAAATGTTTCTGACCTGTGAAATCAGTTCTGAAGCTGTAAAGTTTGACTTATAATATTGACATACACCTACTCCTTACTTATCAGCTAGCTCTTCTGACATTTTGCATTTATGACAATGGTTTAAAAAAAAATCTGCTATCCAATGATTTTTGTGTATTAAAGAGTTGACAAGCATGGTGTCAACAGCTGCAGGGCATCCCATCCAAGCAACTACACAAGCAGCACTGGGCCAGCAGATGCCAGTTTGGGTACCCAGCTCCAATGCAGCCTGGAGCACTGCAGCTTCAAGTTGGTATGGGGTAGGGAGGGAGGAAAAAAGGCATGAGAGGATGCTTGTAAGAAATGTGTGCTAGCTAAAATGACACCCCAAAGAGAACTAAATTGGGGCATGAAGCTTCCACCTCAGTGGTTGGGTACTCGGAGCCCAGCCATGCATTCAGCACCTTTACAGGAAACTCTGAGTCTCCGTGACTTCCCAGTCTTAAAAGGCAGAGTAGGCCCCCGGCCCCTGAATGTAGGATTAAAGTGAAGTGGTTAAGCCGGGGTCTCTCCAGCCAAACAGCCTAGTTTTATTTAGCTTCATCTCCTCCGTGCTGCCTCCGTGCAGAGGCATGATCTGTCATGGGACACTGCACACAGATTGTACTTTCTAAATTAAAAAAGAGAGAGAGACACACAAATGGATGGTCTGAACACAGAAAAAGAAAGTCTTTCATTTTCACCTGACAGCCCATCTTTGGAAACCAGCCATGCCCATAGGTGAGGAGTAGGTGTATTCTGCTGTAGTACTACACAGTTCAAATTTCACTTGTTTTTAGTTCAAGTAGTTTTCCTTACAAGGCATAATTTAATGTGAACGAGACACTTGAATGTCTAAATAGATGTTGTCGATATATATATTTGTTTTTTCTCTTAGGTAACAGGCAAGCAATGCTCATAAACTTTTCTTTTTTTAGTATGTCATTGAAAGTGCCCGACAGAAACCTCCTAAAAGGAAATACCTATCTAGTGGAAGGTAGGCCTACTTAATTGATAACGTCTTAGATTCATTGAACTATGATAATTGAACATAATTTACTGCATTTCTACTAGGTTCTATGCTGGAAAATCATGATAGTTGTTTGGGTGTATTAGGAATTCCTATGTTTATGCTTGCACCTATGTCAGATCCTATGCCTAATTTGGGGGAAATTGGATAAAATTAAGAGAAAGTGTAAAAGAATATTTTGTAGTGATTATTACATTAACATTATTTTGCACATTACTGTTTTTCAGAAAATCTGTATTTCAAAAACTCTATGACTTATATATTGAAGAATGTGAAAAAGAGCCCGAGGTTAAGGTAAATAACAATTATTCTATTTCAAAATAGAAGGGATGTAGGACTTGTGGAGAACCTAATTTGAGGCACTAAGTGATTTTGTTTTCATGAGTGAACTAACATCTGTTTCAGCCAAACATGCCAGTCATACAGCTGACCCATTGTCCTAGCTAATCTGGTACCAGGTGGTAATCACCTTCGTAGGTCGAAGAGGCAGAAGGAAAGCCACAGAATATGTTAATCTTTAGCTGCTGCTTCACACCGAAGAATAATTTCTAGATTTCATTCAGGAGAAAAGTAGCCCATTTCCTCATGATGACATATACTGGAAAATTAAAGCTATTACAGGGCATGTAGGAAATTCAGATGTTACCAACATTAAATTTACCTGACCATGAATGAATTAATTTTGTGACCATGTACACCTTTATCACCTGAAGGAAGTATTTCTGTATGTAACTTAGTCTGGAGTAACTTAACTCCTTTTTATTTAGCTTCAAAGTATGGGTAGTGGAGATGTAGTACTAATGGATTTCTTGGAAGGAGGGAGGTACAACCAAAAAAAAAGAAATTTCTTGTTATCATTTGGGCCCTTAGTGTGGAAGAGCTTCAAAGTTCTCTGTGAGCTCTTGTCCTTATTAAAAATGACTGCATTTTTCCACCAAGCAAAATTAGTAGAATTCTAGCTGTGTATAGCCTCTAAAAGCTTTACGTTAGAGAAAAATGACTGCTAGACTTAAATTTTATGACAAATATTTTAGCCTTTGTTTGCTTTTCCTCCTCTGGAGTAGAATGTATATTTTTTTGCTTTTGGGTGGTGATAGATCATCAGTTTATACTTCTTCTGCTTATGGCTACATGTATTTAATATTTTTTTTATCAATGTTATACATTAGTTTATGTATATATATAAATTGTCTTTTTGAGATCCTGTACAAATAAATACCTGTAAATAAATAAATATATTTTTAAAAAGACATCTGTCGACTCAGATGGCTCTCCCAAGTGAAATTCAATAAGATGAATTGCTGTATGTGTAAAATGGTTAAATTTGAAGTCATGGACATATAGGTATAGATGTATATTGAACAATGAAATGGTGCCTAAGGAACTATTAAATTGAATTGAAAGAAAATTGCCTAAAATTTCTCTTACTAATTAGTTATTTAGGGATTCACATTTTAACTAATCAGAGCAAATTGAAATGATTGGGATTTAATTTAGGCCAAACTTTTAAGAAACTATTAAATATTTTATTTTGTAGATTTACCTATTGCATGTTTATAAACAAACAAACAAACACAAACAAAAAAAGGTCATCAAATTGATTCCAGCTAATAGCAGCCCTATGTACGGTTTCTGAAACTGAAATCTTCCTCTTCCCCCCAACAGTTTTATTGGCATATCATTCACACATCACATAATTCAATAGTTCATTCACATCAGGAAGATTGGTGCAGTCACCACACAAACAATTTCAGAACATTTTATTCCTTCTCATATTCATTGTTCTCTCTTCATTCTTCACCCCACCTCTACAACCATGCCTCTAGGTAAATATTAATCCAGTTACTCTCTGTACACATTTATCTATCCTGGATTTCATATACAGTAAGTCATACAGACAACAAGAAACAAAACAGTAAAAACCTCAACAGTAAGAAAGCAGAAAATATTAAAAACTGAAATAACTTAAAAATGAGTCAAATGGGAAATCAAATGATAAGGTGTTACAAGTTAACTTACCCTTATCTGCCATAACTACCTTTCCATTGTTCTCTCACTGATAGTAAGACTATTCATATCCCTGGACGATGGTCACAGGGTATTCACCAGAAGTTTAATCCATATGGGGATCCTGCAGATAGATCTTGGGCTTCCACTGTTATCCATTGTTCTCTCCAAACTGGGTGTTCAAAATTTAAGCTCCAGTACTGTTCCCTTCTTCAGATATGTATTTTATTATTTACACTCCTTGGATCACACAGGCTGGTGTGCTTTTTTCATGTGGACTTGGCTGAGGTCTCACTTAAATGGCTCTTAGAAGACAAACCTTTAACACCCCAGATGGCTGTATTTTCCGATAGCCAGGCCCCAGCTGATTTCTTCATCACACTTTGCTATAGCACACATATCTTCAGTAATCTCTTAATGAGGGCTAGTATCAAGTAGGGTCTTGTTATAAGAACTAATTGTTCTTAGGTTAGGGCTATGATTAAATATGAGTCCAAATGCCATTCATATATCTATGATTTGTATATGTCTCTGGTTCACTTTAGCGACATCATTTGGCCATAAAATATTTCTAAAATGTGCACTTGTCAAGAGGTAAGCCAAGGAGAATGCCCTAAATTTGTCATTTGTATAAGCCTCATAATGTAATACTATAAACAAATCATGGAACATGTATGTGTATTTTCTATTTAGGTATTGTTTTTAAACTACCAATATTCCTTTGTGATTGAATTATAAAAATTAAGCTTGTATCGCTGTCTTGTGCATGGTGTGTCATAGGTGCACATCACACCCATATGTTCATGATTGTCTTTTGGAAGGAATACCCAGTGATTGATACAGGTCTGAATTTGTTATATCCTAGACTTATTTGGTTGGTTGTACTGTTTCATTTTCATGAGCTCTGCCTCATTTTAAAGCAGAAATTAAGAAGAAATGTGAACTTGTTAGAGAAGCTTGTTATGCAAGAGACATTGTCATGCCTAGTGGTCAACCTATATCCAGGAAACGAGGGATATTCTCTGATGCTCAGGGGAAAAAATGGATCAGGTAAGATGCTCCCAAGAACAGTTGCCACAAAATACTTCTGCCAGGCAGGATGTGCTAGTTTTTAAATTGTGCAACCTTATAAATGGCTTATCCATTATGTAAGTGTTGATGTAGTGATAGAAACAAGCAATTTGTCCTCTTGAAGATATGCTTTGTTGGAGTAATAGAAATTATCTTAAATATAATTGGTTATTCTTTCTGTATATACATTTAAAAAGAATTCTAATTGAGTGTCTTTGGCTTCAAGTAATAAAACGTAGTGTTAGCATGATTGCCAAAATTTTATTTTGCTCTATTGTTGTTTATATTATATTTTTATTTTTGATAGCATTAGGATATTTTAAGATACGCTCTCCATTTTGAATATATTGAGTCTGAAAACTACGCAGACTCACTGCCTTTTAGATAATTTGGGGATTAAATATTTTTATGAATGTGAGTATGGAAAGTTTTAAAACAATCTTTGTTTTACTAGAGGCATATAAATATTTGAAATGATCATGCTTTGTTAGGTGTTCTACAAGGAACTCACCTAGTTAGGAATTTTTTTTTTCTTGTATTGGTCATTATAAAATGTGACCCAAAAGGATTTTGTTCTATAAAGGACTACTATTCAGATGGAGTACCAAATTACCACTCCTGATGTCTAAAATCGATTTAATAGTCATCAAGCAACTTTCAGTTATTCTCATGTTGGAATTTTGTCATTCTGATTATGATACCAGAGGCTTTGATTTAGGGACTTTGGTGGTCAAGCTCTGTGATTTAAACCCACCAGCTGCTCTGCAGGAGCAAGATGAGGTGGTCTGTTTTTGTAAACATTTACAGCTTCAGAAACCCTAGGGAGCAGTTCTACTCTGTCTTGTCGGGTTTCTGTGAGACAAAATCAAGTTCATGGAAGTGAGTTCAGTTTGTGTGGCTATCATTTGAGTTGCTTTCTTGTAACAGTTTTACTTTTCACATCTGAATTGAGCTTTGGCCACTAAGCAGGTGTTCTTTTATGTTTTTTATACTTTTCCCCCCTTTTTGTTTAAAAAGAAACCAAAACAGTAACTTATGTAATTCAGGGAGTCTTTTTTGTAATAATGAGAGTCTCTTAGTTGCGTGCTCCTTATTTTTATGAAAAGTTACTTGAATTAGGCACCTAGATTTTCCTATGAGCTTGATTATTTTAAGAAAGTTAATGTTTTTGAATTAAGATTCTGAGACCATTCGATTGCCTTATGAAGAAGGGGAATTGCTTGAATACTTGGATGCAGAAGAATTACCTCCTATTTTGGTTGATCTCCTGGAAAAATCTCAGGTACAACATTTTTCTCATCAAAATGCTCTTCTATCTGTCAGCTATAAGATTTTGTGATAAATCATTTCATGTTAACTAGTATAGCCAAGAGTGTTTATAGCATTGTAAGTATGTGGAAATTGGCTTATTATGGAACATAGATTGAGTTAGTCAGCTCTTTTGAAATTGCTATAGAATTAGCTTTATGAGTTGAATGTCTTTGGTAGTCAAGAAATTATGAAAGAAATTACTTTGGATATACATGAAGACAGTAGCTTTTCACCTGGTGGTCAGAAACTGGCCTTCATATCTATCCATACTTCTCTGTCCAGCCTAAGTAATCATTTATTTTTTCCTGCTCTCCTTCCTTCTTACTCCCTAGGTTAACCCCAGCTCTGCTACATACTGAGGGAAAAGAAGCAATCATGTGTTCTCACCCGTCACTGGTCAGCCAGTATACCCACATCTCTCTCTACATTTTCTTTTGCTTCCTGTTAAATCATAGGTTCTCAACCTTCCTAATGCTGCGACCCTTTAATACAGTTCCTCATGTTGTGGTGACCCCCAACCATAAAATTATTTTCTTTGTTACTTCATAACTGTCATTTTGCTACTGTTCTGAATTGGGCGACCTCTGTGAAAGGGTCATTCTACTCCCAAAAGGGTCGTGACCAACAGATTGAGAACTGATGTGTTAAGTGGACGATGTTTGCTGTTCCTAAAGCATCCTCAGGGACATGTATTCTGGGTCATCCCCTACCTATGCCAGTACTTGTAACAATAACCCCCTTGTCTTTTAGCATATTTATTTTTCTCTATATGTTACATCCAAAACACAATTATACTGCTACTTTACTTAATAAAAAAGATGTTTGACCACATGTTCTTCTCTAACAAAAAACAACAAAGCAGTGCCATTGAGTCAATTCCAACTCTGTGCAACCCTTTAGGGTAGTCAGCGGGTGGTTTTGACTTGCTCACTTTGTGCTTAGCACCCCCAGTACTATGCCATCAGCACTCTTCCTTTGCTAACTGAATCCCAAAATCCAAACAAACTGATGTCCAGTCAGTTCACTCATAGCGTCCCTGTAGGACAGATTAGAACTGCTCTTCTGTGAATCCTTATGGGGTTGGGCTACGTTATTTTTATCACATGGTGCAGCTGGTAGGTTTGAACTGCTCACCTTGAAGTTAGCCCAAGCACCTAACCCTCTGACACCTGAGCTTCTGCTGTGCTGTAATTCTCCTCTGGGCAGCAAAACTACTCAAGTAATTATCATTGTTGAATTGTCGATAATCATTGTCTTCTATTCATATCTCATTCTTCCTCTACGCACTTCACTCCACACTATGGCATCGTCATTCTACAGAGGCTGCTCCTGCCCGGTGACAGTCATCTGGGCACTAAATCAGTTGGTTACTTTTCTGTTCTCATTTTAATTGATCATTTAGCAATATTCTTTGCATATAACCACTTTCACCTTGTAACACTCTTCACTATACATATCATGTATTCCTAGTTTCCCTTGGCCATTGGTTTTTTTCTGTCTTCCATCCACAAATGTGTTGGGTCCCAAGCCCTTTAGTAACATTCTTCCCCTGTATTATCTCAACTAGTTTCGTGGACTTAAAAAAATATCAATGGGCAGTTCAGGAAGACACGGCTAAATGTTGAAACGTGCAAGGACCTAGAATTAGAAAACAAAAGGGAAGAACACATTCAGCATATCTGAAACTGAAAGAACCCGAGAAAAACGTCAAGCCTCAAATTGCAATTCTGGAAGATTCTATAGGCACAATATTATTGATGCCGGAGGCATGAAAAGAAGATGGAAAGAATACAGTCACTGATCGCTGTACATAAAAGAACTAATCCAAAGTCCACCGTTTCAGGAGGTAGCAAATGAGCTAGAACCAATGGTGCTGAAGGAAAAAGTTCAGACTGTACTGAATGCATCAGCCAAACACAAAGCTCCAAGATTGACAAAATACCCACTGAAATGTTTCAGAAAACTGAAGAAGTACGGGAAACACTCATTTGTCTATGCCGTGAAATTTGGAAGGCAGCTACCTAGCCAACTGACTAGAAAAGATCCATATTTGTACCCATTCCAAAGAATGGTGACTCAACAGAATGCTCAAATTACTGAACAGTATCATTGATATTGCATACAAGTAAAATTTTGCTGAAAATCTGACAATAGTACAGCAGTGCATTGAGAGGGAGCTGCCAAAAGTCCAGGCTGGATTCAGAAGAGGACTGGGAACAAGGGATATCATTGCTGATGGCAGATGGATCTTGGCTCAAAGCAGAGACTACCAGAAAGATGGTTTTTTGTGTTTTATTGACTATACAAAGATACTCAACTGTGTGGACCCTAATAAACGCTAGATAGCCTTGAAAAGGAGGGAAATGCTAGAACACTTCATCGTGCTCATTCGGAACTTGTACATGGAACAAGAGGCACTTGTGCAAACAACAAGGGAATAGTGCATGGTTTAAAATCAGGACAGATGTGTCTCATGGTTTTATCCTCTCACCTTACTTGTTCAATTTATGTGCTCAGCAAATGATCAGAGAAGCTGGATTATATGAAGAAGAATATGGCATCAGGATTGGAGGATGGCTTATTAACATGCCGTATGCAGTTGACACAACCTTGCTTGCCGAAAGTGAAGAGGAATTGAAGCACTGACTGATGAAGATCATGGATTGTAGACGTCAATATGAATTACAACACAGTGTAAGGAAGACCCAAATCCTTCCCTCTGAACCAATAGGTAACATCACAAGAAATAGAGAAACGGTTGAAATTGTCGAGGGTTTTTGTCTTGGAAGCAGTCAGGAGATTAAAAGATGTATTGCATGAGGTAAATCTGCTTCACAAGATTTCTGTATTGAAGAACAAACATGTTACTTTGAGAACTGAGGTGTGCCTGACCCAAGCCATGGTACTCTCCTTTGCCTCATCTACATTGAATAAGAAAGACTGTTGAAGAATAGATGCATTTGAATTGTCCTGGAGAAGAAGAGTGGAAGTACCATGGACTGCTAAAAGGACAAACCAGTCTGTATTGGAAGAAGGAATGCCAGAGTGCTCCTTAAAGGCAAGGGTGGCAAGACTTTGTCTTACATAGTTTGGACATATATTGTCAGAAGAGACTAGTTCCTGGAGAAAGGAAGGCCTTCCATGAGAGAGATTGACACAGTAGCTGCATGAGTGGGCTCACACATATCTATGAACAAATATGAGGATGGCACAAGGCCGTGCAGTGTTTCATTCTCTTGTGCATAGGGTCACTATGGGTCAGAACTGACTGGCATCTAACAAGTAGTTCTTGATTCATCTTGCCTTCATCTTTCACATTTGGTCTTATCAGCATGTCAGTAAGTCTACCTTCAAAATACCTGATCCATTGCCATGGTTACTTTGCTGAACTCCTATTTTCATTCTAGAACTTTCAAAATCAGTTCACCAGGAAAACCAGAAACACCCGACGAAGCATAACACAACCAAAAGTCCCTGCTTCACATTCTCCACTGTCCCCTTACTACACAACACCCCTGTCTTAATTGCCCTCATCTTCACTCATGACCCTCCAGCCAGCCGTACTAAAACACATCAAGCTTATTTCAGAGCCGAAGCATAACACAACCAAAAGTCCCTGCTTCACATTCTCCACTGTCCCCTTACTACACAACACCCCTGTCTTAATTGCCCTCATCTTCACTCATGACCCTCCAGCCAGCCGTACTAAAACACATCAAGCTTATTTCAGAGCATACAACCTCACTTCTTGTTCCCTAGAATCACCTGGATTTTTTTTTTTGGTGGGTTTTTTAAGCTGAAATGTCATTTCCTTAGCTTCTTAGCATCTAATCTCAATTCAACCCTCTTCTCCATTTTGTTTCCTTACAGCATGCATCACTCCTGAAAAGGATCTTGTTTACTTATTTCCCACCTGTCTTCCCACCCTGAGAGCTAACATTCACCACTACAACCTGAAGTTTCTTGGATAATG